TTTGGTTAAGAGAGAAACAGTGCATATTTGTTCTTTTGTATAACCATAACGCAAGGGATAATTTGGCCTGTTTAGAGTAACAGTCCAGCAGCAATTATTTGAAATGTATATTTGAGTAAAAGATTTAGACCAGTCATGTTTAGGTGAAGCCTAGTTATTTCAGTATTGAAATGCGTAAAGAAATCTTCAAGTCTAGCTAACTGAATTTATAAGAAGTTGTTGGTTTGTTCACTATATCATTGTTTCTTCAAGTTCTAAAAAACAATGTTTGAAGTCATGCAGCTGCTGAATCTGTTTCTCTCATAAAAAAGAGGAAACCCCACAAGGCAGGCACCTTCCCTGTTCCCCTCTTAGCTGTGTCCTTCATTGGCTGTGAACAGCCACCTGAGTGTCAGTAGGCTGCTTCTGCCACTCTGATCCTGGCCTCCAGGTCTACCCAGATAGGGGTCCCGGGGCCCGTCAATTCTTCCCCTTGTCTAGATACTCTACCCAGTAGCACTCTTGGGACTGGCGAGAGATGACAAAACACATTTTAAACATTTTGGTTCGCAGATGGATTTCCTAACAGCCATTTTCCATTGTGTGCCCTGCCTACTTATACCACTTCTGGAGCAAGGGAGCCCCTTTAAGGCTCTCCTGGTCTTCCCTAAGCAATAGGCATGTTTAGTGGTAGTGCACCTGTTCTCTCTGTAGCCAAGGCCTCCCCCTTCCAGAAAGTGAATGCAGCCTTAGACTAGTAGGAAGAAAGGTGATGATGATGACGACGATGATGATTAGAGATAAGGTATGGCTCTGTCGCCCAGGCTGGAGTGCAGTGGTGTCATAATAGCTCACTGCTACCTCCAAGGCTTGGACTCAAGCGATTCTTCTTGCCTCCATCTCCCAAGTAGCTGGGACTACAGGGGCACACCACCACGCCTGGCTAATTTTTTAAAAAGTTTTTGTAGAGATGAGGTCTTGCTATGTTGCTCAGGCTGGTCTCGAACTCCTGGGCTCAAGTGATCCTCCAGTTGCAGCCTCCCAAAGTGCTGGGATTACAGGTGTACGCCACTGCACCTAGCAGAAAGAGCATTATGTTGCACTGATGACTGATCCCAAAAGTAAAACAGGCCCCTGAGTCAGAAAAAAACTAGTTCTCATTAAGTCTGCATATACTACTCTGGGGACTAGGCATGGTGTTCTTTCAGGCCTTTTAGCTCTGAATTAAGAATGCAGCACAATTACCTTTAATATTGATGTAACAAGCATGGATCACCTGCTCTCCCTTGGGTACGCTTTCTCTATTTCCATTTACAAAGGGTTTACAGGACAATGGATTGAGGTACTTGTTAGACATGGATACACCGACAGTAATGACAATTTAATAACCATTGTAAGGTAGACGAGGGTTATACGCTAAATTAGCTTGTAAAGGCATCTGTGTAATACAACATAGCAAGGACTCTCTGGTCATAATAACTCTCAGTCCTCCTGAATAAGGAAGTCAGAACTGTGTCTCAGGCACAGTCCTGAGCAAAACCGGCTCCAGCGTCTCCAATCTTCCCCAGTCAGAGCCGGAACTCTCGTCAACGGAACCAAGATAGACTCCTAGGAAGGAAAAGCGTTTACCAACACACTCCTCCCCCGACCCACTTCCTGAGACTCTCTAGACTGCCTACCGCTTCTCAGTGGTTTTTTCCGGTTTCCTCCTCGCTAGTCGCGCTGTTTCCGCCTCTTGCTTTCCGCCGCCGGGAATTTGACGAGCTCTCGCGAGACTTGGGCCTCTTCCTAAGCCGGCGCTCTGCAAGGTAGGTGTATGGCCTTTGCTCGGGCCGGAGATTTTTGCCGGCATGCAGGAAAACGGCTCTCGGAGTCAGCCCTGGAGCAGCGGGTCCTGCTCACCGGGTGGGGATACAGCCGATTACCCGGCCCGTGCCGTCCGATGGCTTCTGCGGGGCGGGCGGGGCGCGCGGGGTCGCTGACCGCGGCGCGTCCTGTGCTCGCAGGGCAAGGCCATGTTCAGTTCCAGCGCCAAGATCGTGAAGCCCAATGGCGAGAAGCCGGACGAGTTCGAGTCTGGCATTTCCCAGGTGAGAGGGGTTCCCGGGCCGCGGGGTGGGCAGAGGCCCCTGGGGGGCGGGGGGAGGCGGCCACGTGGGTCCGCGGCCGGGCATGGGGGGCCCGCGAACCGGCGCTGAGGGTCGCCCCCCGCTGTGCTCCGCTTCTCAGGCTCTGCTGGAGCTGGAGATGAACTCGGACCTCAAGGCTCAGCTCCGGGAGCTCAACATCACGGCGGCCAAGGTAAGTCGCGCGTGCTCCCCGCGCCGGGCCTGCGGGGGCGTGTTGCGTCGTTAGGTGACCCCGCGTTTAGTGGCGGCGCCCGGCTGCGTCCTTACCCGAATCGCGGAGGAGCCGATACCTGCCCGGGTGCGCCGCGACTCCGCGGACCACTCGCGTGGGGCGGGGAAGCGAGGAGCAGGGCCGGTGCGTTTAGGTCCACGTTTAGCCCTGTGTGTTTGCGGAACAGCGAGGCGGCGCGGGGAGCCCAGCAGGGAGGCTCGGAGTTGAGGCTCCGGGGTGCAGAGCGAAAGCGGCAGTCCCCTGGGAGCGTGGCGGGGCCGGGGGCGCATCTCTGCGGGAGTGAGGATTGGTGGCGGCCCGGCCTATGTCGTCTTGGTCCTGGAATGAGGAAATCTAAAGGTTGGCGGGAGAGGAGACCTTGTCCCAAAGTTCTTACATTAGCTCGAAACATTTGCATTTAAAGTTAATACGTCTAATGACACTGGGGGTTAGACTTTTCTCCTTTGCGTCTAATTTGACTGCAGTTTTTACCTTACTTTCTGAAGCAGTTGTCTCCACTGACTACATCTGCTTAGTGTACAGATAATTTGTGTTCTTAGTTCAGGATTTATGTCGTATATGGGCAGTTTAGTGTTTGGTGAAGAGGCTTAGGCAGATGACAACCAGCCATCATTTGGGGGTGCAAAAAATTTAAAGTTTATTTCCTGTAGAGAATATCAGCCACACTTGCATGGTTATCAGTAAGTTCTCAAATTGGGAGTTTTATGTGTCAGATTTGTCAGACTTGAGAAAGAACGATGGAGCTGGGGTCTGTGGCAGTGGAAATGAACTGAGAGGTGGTTTCTTAAAAAAGGAGCTCCTACGGTCTGGGTGTTCTTGCAGATGACGCCTGTTCCCACTGAGTGTCACCACGGAACATTGTGCTTGAGTGGGACACATGGAGGTTGTGAACTTCAAAAGGTGGATTTTTTTTCCTTTAGGAAATTGAAGTTGGTGGCGGTCGGAAAGCTATCATAATCTTTGTTCCTGTTCCTCAACTGAAATCTTTCCAGAAAATCCAAGTCCGGCTAGTACGTGAATTGGAGAAAAAGTTCAGTGGAAAGCATGTTGTCTTTATTGCCCAGGTATCTGTTCCATTGAATGTTTTGTGAATTTTGCTGAAAATCGGAAGTAACTTCATAGAAGGGTTTCTGAGTAAATTGTTTGGTCTGGGTTGTTTTGCTTTCTTAAAATTTGTCCTTGTTCTGTTACTCATTTTGCTTTTAAAGCAGTTTGACAGTTCTTAGCTTTGTATCAACTTAACATCCTTTTTTTGGAATCTTGTTGAATGATAATTTTTACCTTGCAGAGGAGAATTCTGCCTAAACCAACTCGAAAAAGCCGTACAAAAAATAAGCAAAAGCGTCCCAGGAGGTGAGTATTTTAGTAGCATCAAAATTTCTGTAACATTCTTAGTTTGTACAGGTTTTAATTTATAACACAGGCCGTTCACATGGGTATCCTTAGAGAGATTAGGTTTCCTCTATCTGTGGTGTGTTTTAGAATTCATTCTAGTTGGAAAGTGTACGTGTGTCCACATCGGCACCGTAGGTGCGGGTCAGTGCTGTCGCAAAAGCTGAGACTTTGCTCCAGGTCTCTGGACAAAGGGTAGAAATGACGAGAAGGAAATCAGTAGTTCAGTGCTGGCACAAAGCCTGCTAGACATAGTTGAGGTGAGCTTGGATGTATCTTTGCTTTTCATTTTTGCGGTAGATTAGAGGTAAAAAATAAATTGGGTGGATTTTTCTGGTGCTAACATCACAGGTTAAAATACTATTGCAGTTGAAGATGCTGATGGGAAATTGTGAACTTGATTGACTTACTCTGGCATAAACTCAAATGTTGACAGTTGGCTTCCTGACAGGTAGGCCTTTTGGTATTTCATGGATGTCCCTGAATAGTACATTGTTTTCAAACTTGAATTTTGGATCCCTCCAGACTCTTCCCTACGGACCAATTTGGGAAAAAATGTAGTAGTTGTCTATCAGGTGGACAGCAATCCTATGAAATGTATGATTTGTGATGTTATCCCTAGTTAATGGATGAGGAAACTGACCCAAGACTTGGAGAATTTGCTTATTACTTCTTAACAATCATAGCTAAGAAATTTTTTAAAAAAACTCAATCTTGTTCTGAAAAACGCCTTCATAGGAAGTGAGTGCTAGGAATGTAGAACAATGGGTAGGTGTTACTGTGTGGTACCATGTTGTGGGAAGGAAGGTGAGGACAGAAAGGTAGGTGCAGGGTTTCTAGAATTTGAGTTATGTGGCTTAGCACTTGGGACTTGTTTATGGGTGGTTGGAGTAGCGTACGAATTGAGGATTTTTTTGTTTATCATGATATATAAAGGGGGTTTTGTAATCTCAGTTCTGAGAGCCCGAGTTAGGAACTGAGTATAAAAGCAGTCCCTTCACCTCTGCCCAGCTCAAGGACTGCCTCCCAGATCTGCAGCTTCAATTCTGCCTCATCCCAAACCTGTGTTTCCACATTTTCTCGGGTGATGGCTTCACTCTGTTCTGGTGTGAGCAGGGCGTGCGTTTAAAGCCTTCACTCTCGTCCACACTAAGGTGTAGTTGGTGGGTCATAGTGACTCTGCCACTTTGCCACTCTGGTGTCCTGCTTTCAGGTTTATTTTCTCTGTTGAGAAGAGCTCTGTTTCTCCATCTCAGATTAAGCTGAAATTTATGCGTATTTTGGCTATAGCAGAGTTCAGTGTTTGTCCTCCGAAGCACTTTAAGTCCGTGTGGTTTGTGATTACTAAAGTTGCAGTGCTGTTGCTCCCCCTTTTAAAATAGTTTAGATAACATTGAAACCTGAGAGATGATGCCAAGAATGGCTTTGAATATATTCTAATTTATATTTTAGAGACAGTAACAAATTTCCATATTTGCCTGCCTGCCTAGTGTTGCCAGAATATCCTTCTTGAGCAGCATTGAGTAATGCAGCCGTCTGAGAGCTTTCTGGAAGGTGACAGAAGGCTCTGGGAACGCATTTTCTTCCAGCTTTTGCTGTCTGTGGCTGCGGAACAGTAAGACCTTGGCAGTCACATTCAGAGCCAGTAGAAAACCTTAACTGTGCATGGTACTGCCAAGTAGGAAACAGAAATGAGTAGAGCATGTACTATGGGGTGAGCAAGACCTATACAAATAACCGTGATACAAGGCAGCTCTGTAATGTTGAAAATGCGTAGTAGGCACCCCAAAAGTTTGGAATTAATGGAATCTTCTTCTTTGTCAGGCAACAGGTCGGATTTGAACTTTATAGAGACAGATGAGGAGCAGTATTCCGTTGGCAGTGTAATGAGGATGGGTTGAAAGTCAGTGACCCACATGGTGGGGGGGCAGCTGTCCTAGAGCTGGCGATAGGACAGTATCTTTGGAGGGGCATATCGTAGCCCTCATTTGATCATAGACAGCAGGACGATGAGTGGTATCTTGGAGGACCAGGGGAACTCTTGAAGGCTCTTCAGTGGGTAAATTATGTGATCACTTCAGTATTTTAGAAAGATTGCTTTGACCACATTGCGGGGAGGGTGGTTTTGGAGGTGAGCAAGACTAGTGATGTGGTTATTACAGTGATTTAATTGAGAAATAATACAAGTGAAAATAAAGATGTATAAAAAGTCCTCACTAATCTCCCTAGAGATAATCACTCAATACCTTGGTGAATATGGATTGTATTGAATATGCAGTTACTTGTATCACATTTGAAATAGACTTAAGTTTTTTTTAAAATTAAGCTGCTGCTTACTGTATTCTAGTTAGACAAAGACTTTGGTGTGAAATATGAAATATAATTTGCCTATTTGAAAACTGGTATTAATTTAGATTTTAGGAACCTGGAATTAACCATTTCATTTTGACTGCGTGAGGTGCCCTCTGGGGTTCACCAGTGGGCAGGCGTTGCCAGATTGCTTACATTTTGTCACTGTTCTTCAAGCCGCACCCTGACCGCCGTGCACGACGCAATCCTTGAGGACTTGGTCTTCCCAAGTGAAATTGTGGGCAAGAGAATCCGCGTGAAACTGGACGGCAGCCGGCTCATAAAGGTTCATTTGGACAAAGCACAGCAGAATAATGTGGAACACAAGGTAACAGTTCAGCATCGTCTTACGGAAAGGTTCTGCCGCAGAGAGGTAGGTTGCAGTGTGCCGTGTCTCCATGCACCACCAGAAGCAAGAACTGGGAACTACGGCCAGCTGGTGTCATCTGTACCTCGGCCTGCTCCCCTTTGGACTGTGTGTGTCAGGTTTTAAATTGGGAGAGGTCTTAAAAATTGGACACTTGATATTCTCTGTGCCTTTTAAGTTACCAGGAAAAGTGGAAGTGAAATAATTCATGGTCTGACTTACAGTAAGGCTGTATGTTTCAGATGAGTCAGGGGTGGGGTGGTGACACTGTTAGAGTCTTGGGAGAACCGTCAGTGACCTTCAGACTTCAGAGAACATAGCCAACGTGGACAACTGCTGGCATGCCCCGGCGGCTTTGTCCGCATGGCACCTGCAGAGCAGCCCAGCACACAGGTGTGGTGGTGAGGAATTCTGGCCCAGGACGCTGGGGATGAGCTGGTCCCCAGCCTCGGGACTGTTGCGGGCATGTCCTGCGTATTTCTCACCTTCTCAGTACCTGGTTGCTGAGGAGAAGAAACATAACATACGGGGCACAGTTTCACAGAATTGGTAGGTTTTAAGATGTGTGTGCGTATTTAAAGTTTTGTGATGAATTGTTTCTTCTCTTGTAGGTTGAAACTTTTTCTGGTGTTTATAAGAAGCTCACGGGCAAGGATGTTAATTTTGAATTCCCAGAGTTTCAGTTGTAAACAAAAATGACTAAATAAACTATATTCACAGTATTCTGTTTTAGGCGTGTTTGTCTAAAATTCCAGAGACACGGATGCATAGCTACTTACGTCATCAGTAGTTTGCTACATAGGCTGGAGGATTTTGAGCAGAAGGGGCTGTGTGTGTTTGTGCCAGGATGTTTGATGTGATGGGTATACTTGTATCCAGCGATGTTGCAATAGGTGTAATCTTATTGCCCCAGATGGGTGAATATTACTATCTTACCCGTTTTTAAGCATGCAGTTCAGTAGCCTTAAGTATATCTGCGTTGTCCGAGACAAATCTCTAGAACTTTCTCATTCATCTTGTAGAACTGAAACTGCCCGTTAAACCAACAAGTTCACTTCTCCCTTGTTCCCTCAGAATCATTGAATTTTTATGCGTAAATCCATGTCAGGTTTTCGAAAGACTGGAAAGTGGAGTGTAAGTGTAGTGAATAGATTCAATGCACTCCAGATGGTGCATGAACTGGGGTGGGCGGTCCAGTTCCTCAGCGTTCTAGTCCACAAAGTGAAGGCATCGGGTGAAACGGCAGCTCTTGAGGTCAGGACCCTGGAGCAGCGTTAGGGTCCATAGTTCTTCCAGCTCTTTCTCTAGGTAGTAGGAGATGTCTTAAAAGGAAATTGATTCTTCAGTTTGTTTGCTTTGTTGCCAAGCGGCTTTAAGAATTGATAAACCCTAAACTTACTGTGCGAAAGTTACCTTCTTGTTTATATGGAGTGAAGAAGATCTTAGGGAATGCAGCCCCAAATAGCGTGTTTTACATCAGATTGCTCCCACGTGTAGACTAGTTGGGTTGCATAAGCTTTTGAGGCAAAACAATAGTATTTGCCCATTTCACACACAAGGCCTGGTAAGAGTTGGGCAGCTGGAGTGTCCACCGGGTGCTTTAAACCCCCGTGTGCCCTTGAGCCGCCTTGTACTGCCTGGGTGAGACCTTGGTGGATGGGTGGGTGAGGAAGACTCCCCTCCCCCATGCTGCTGTCTACACCCCATCAGTCCCCATCAGGGTCCCACAGCCCTGACGCTTTCCCTGGTTCTTGGGAGGGAAGCCCTTGCTCAGGCCCAGGGTGCTGTGCTGCAAACCTCTCACCCTCCCCAGCGTGCAGCCCGTTTCCTGATCTGTGTTTTGTGGCATCGTAGGTTCTCTTTGCCGTGCTCTTACCTCGAATGTTTAGCATATATTGGTCTTCAAAAAACGATGAAGGTCACAGGAAAATGCCCGTTTTTGTGGCCATAACCTGGAAACTGATTGGACGTGCTGTAGGTGGCGCATGTTTTGCTTGAGCACGATCCTAATACCGTGATACGCGGTGTGTGTCACCACTCTGAGCCTCAGTTCTCTGGTCTATAAAATGAGAATTTATTACCTGCTTCATTATATTACTTTCAGCTACACAGATACCAAGTGCATTTTCAAAGCAGTAGCTCCTTAGTGCCAGGGATTTAGAGTGTGCGCTTCATAAACTGCACTGACCACGGCTCCATCACCCGGGAGTCCTCGGGCTCTGAAGCTCTCTCCAGAGGTGGCACGTGAGATGAGCCCTTCAACTTTAAATGGCGGAAGGTGACGTGAATCGCACAGCAGGGAGGAGCCGACTGAAGCAAATTCAGTCTTGCTTTTTTCAGCTTGCGAAGTGCTGCAGTTACAGGCGGTGATGGGATTTGGGTCGTGCTGAGTGGTCGGATCCGACGTAGGTGGAGCGTGATCGCGGCACTTGCTCGTGTGGTGCACAGGTTTGCTTCTCAGGCCGGGGAAGCAGGACTTACAAGCTGTCCTAGAATGTTTTTGTTTTAAAAAACATTTGAATTTGTTGATTTTTCTGTGATGCCAGTGCCTATCAGTAGTATGCCTAGTAGGTGTTAAAAAAAAATCCATCTCCAGTAAAAGAAATTGTACCATTACATGAGAAATAATTGTTTTTAAACGAGTGTTGTAAGGAGTGAGCATGTTGTAAGATGGCCATTGGGAAATGCTTCCGTTTTAGATGGAAGTTACATGTCACCTGTAAGGTATTTGCATAGTATAAAAACTTGGAAACAGAATATTCTCACCTATTAAAGACTCTTACGAAGAGTTTCAGTTGACTTCCATTTGTTAAAAATTAAAATGTTCAATCGTCTAATTCCTTTGCAAGAACAAAAATTACCAGGACACCAAAAAAAGATGGAAAATTTTGATTTATTTTCAATAAAAACTTGCACAATTGCTGCATAGGAAGCATAGCCGAAGATATCCATTTACATCTATCTTTGTAAGGGATCTTTCTTTAAAAAAACAAAAAAAAAACTTCAGTAGAAGCTTTCTGTTACACACGAAAGTATAGCAGGATATCGTAGTGGACTTCTGTGCACCTGTCGCCCGGCTTCAGTGTTACTGACGATTTGCTTAATCTTGTTCCAGCTATCCCCACCTCTTTTTGCTGGAGATTTTTGAAGGGAATTCTAAACATATCAGGAATCTTTTAGCTGTGATGATTACTATATTTTTGGGGCAGGGTTTCGCTCTGTCGCTCTGGCTAGAGTGCAGTGGCATCGTCATAGCTCACTGCAACCTCGAACTCACAGGGCTGGCTCGAGGGATCCTCCTGCCTCAGCCTCCCGAGTAGCTGGGACTACAGGTGCCACCACGCAGGGGTGATTTTTCTATTTTTTGTAGAGATGGGATCTTGCTGAGGCTGGTGAACTCAGCAGTCCTCCCATCTCGGCCTCCCAAAGTGCTGGGATTACAGGCCTGAGCCACCGCCCTGGCCTAAGCTGTGATGATTATTAAAATCAAGTATCAAAATAAACTCAACTAGATTTTAAATTGTTATATTACAAAGTATTAAACCAAGGTTTTCTAAATCTAGTCAATCACATTGCTTTTACTAAAATTAATACTTTGGTGAACAAAAAGTTTTAGGTACTATTTTTATTCATATAAAATTTGTGTTTTTGTAATGTGTATACGCTGTGTATACTATGGTACATTCTGTATTAACTACACATTGGAGTTACTCAAAAGTTTTCCTTGAGATACACGACAAAAGTTTGGTTTGATGACCAAACGGATTGTCATCACAATTTTCATCAGTGAACTTGGTGACAAGAAAGCTTAAATATATTGAATATTTTGGAAAGGTAAACAATTTAAGATCCTATTGAACAAAGATTAGATATTGAACCTGCAAGAATGAGATTAAACCCTGCTAGTTGTATTAGTGGAGTGTTTTCTTCCTGATTTGTACAATGTAAAAGAACTGATAAGGGTGCACAAAGGGTATGCAAGTCCATAAGTAGTTCATCATTTTAATTTTTTGAGGCATTGAGATGCATAATAATATATCTTTAGTATAGGCATTAGACTATTTAAATTTATAACAGTACAATACAACCACGATCTAATAAAGCAGACACATTTCAACTCCCAGAGATGGGCCTGGTTGCTCACATTTGATTCCTGCTGGATCTGCTGGTAATAAACATGCTTTTAACTCCACTGAGTTTCTTCACATAGTAGCAGCAGCACCTGTGTGTGAGTGACGAAAATGAGGTTTGGTCTGAATGCCTCTGGCAATTACATTTATACTCAATTCTGGACGGATAAAACCAAGTCTGTGCTCTGTAATAGCATTTAAGTGAGGCTGTCATTTCACTTAGTGTGTTGTTGTCTGCACCTAAAATGGCCCAGCCGTTGTCTTGAAAGTAGAACACATCACTACTTCTCAGTTTTTAAGTCATTGTTTGCATTATTTTACAGAACTCGGCATGGTCCGTAAACAGAGCTGTCATTCTGCTAATTTTATTCATAACCGTTCTTCGGCTTCTTGCAAGCCCATCATGGTGACTACGGACCAGACGAGAGGCCGCCGAGTCCACAGCTCTCTTAAGTCGACGAATGGAACAAAGGGAATTCTAAACTTTATTCGTGTTTTTGACTGGTTGCTTTTTCCATTCCATGCTGTGCAGCTTTCTTTAAGTCTCTTGACTTCTCTGGGTCTCTGGCCCTCTTACTAACTTGAAGGACTGAATGAGACAAACTCATCTCTGCTCCTAAGTCGGGTGGTTCTGTGAGGTTCAGGAGGGCCTCTGGCTGCCCTCAGAAGCAGCAAAGGTTAGATTTCTGTGTGTGTCTGCGATGGGTGTATGTCAGAAAAGGTATGGCTTTTGATAGTCTTTTAGCTGAGAAATCTCTTCCTCAGTTTCAGATCTGTGCTGTATGTACTTCAAGGTCACATAGATGGGGGACTGGTGTAATTAGGGTCACTGGTCCAGCCACGGGCCTGCTCAGACTCCAGCTGCAGTCGTCGCTGTCAGACCCAGGCCTGACCGGCTGCAGCGGACAGTGCCTGCTGAAGACAGTGTTCACCGGAGGCCAGGTCCTGTGGGGACCCTGGGACAGAAAGATGAAATAAGTTACAGTCTCTTCCCTTGAGGTCCTCACTGCCCAGTGGGTAAGACAGACACAAAAATAACATTTATGCAGCAATGTGGCACTTACTTCGAATTACCTGTGCCTAAGAAGGCTCCGTTCTTTGACTTGTGTTTGTTGGCCTGGTGCACAGATGCGCGGGGAGATGGCCTGGGAGGGGCGGCGGGAAGACTGAGGGCCCCCCCCCACACAGAGGAGTCTCGTGTGACGTCAGCTTTCCCTGCCCGAGACTCTCGTTCGGTCTGATTTCCCCCTGCGTGGGGAAGACCACTGGGACACCCCGTGGGAAACAGGGCAAGTGGGACGGGCGTCGGTGACGCCTGGCACAGCCACCTCGTGCTGAGTGACAGTCTACTCGTGTCCGGCACTGGGGTGGAGCACTCACTGTATACGCTCACATCGGTGGGCAGCGGTTCTCCAGGTGTGGTCCCCGGACCACACCCTCAACGCCGCTTGGGAACTCGGTAGAAACGAAACACTCGGATCCCGCTGCCTGTGGGATCAGCAACCCCCGGGGTGGGGGCCGGCAGTCTGTTTGAAGAAGCCCTCTGGGTGGTTCTGATGCGGCCCAAGTGAGGCCCTCCGGTGTCAGGCTCC